TCATAGAAAAAAAGCATAACCAATGATGTCTCACAGAACAAAACGAACATCATTTAAAAGATTAATAAAAAGACGAAGTTAAAGCGCAGCGGTCGTCGCGCAGCGCGTGTTCGAATTTCATGTAAATAAACAATGTATTTTACACGCGTTGTATACGTCGCTATGAGTTCCATATCGAACAGAACGCGGCACGACGACTTCCGCATTTTAACTTCATTTAAATAAAATACCAGTCATTCGCCCACTGACGTAAAATGAATGTCACATCGATCTGCTAAATTGTTGTAACTACAAGACAAAGCAATTACACCTACCTTCACGCTTCAAAAGAAGAGAACAAACGTGTGTCGCGAGGAGGCTTTGGATGACGTACTATTGTTTATTATTCATCATCTGACGGAGTTCGTATAAATATTCAATAACTGATGTAAATACTCAATAATTTATCACCATGGTAATGATCTCATGGGATATGGAACTCGATATAAGGTTTTCGCTATCTAGTAATTACTGATAATTGTTTCAGCTTTCAAACTTCACGTTATCAATCTCACGAGGATTACTCAGCAAGGTATCAATATCTTGGTGATCTATCTTGTTTAATATACCCCCCCCCCTTCAGTCACTCCGAATGTGAAGTCTGTCGTCGTCTCACCGGAATACTATAGCTTAGAACCAGAAATTTTATTGTTTTTTAAAATTTTGATGACAACAAATAAACCCAATAAGTTGTATGTACATTGCAGAACTTGTTTAAAGTGTTGTGATAAGCACAACCATATCAGGCTAAAGAAAAATTATTGTTGTTAGAAAACGTTTCGCCATCTGCGCAGCCAGATTTGGGCCTTTGCCCAAGGTCTCGTTAAGCCGTGTGACGTTGATCGGCGTGGACAGGTTTCACGCGCTCTGTATGTAATGCGCTTTTTGTGATATCAGGCTCCCGAGACACACCGTGAATGTATTGCAGCACGAATTATCTAAGTAAACTGAATAAGCAATTCTTCAATTACTGTTCGAATCGTTAGGAAATATTGAATCGGTAAAAACAAGAAGAAATGCAATATGTTCTACGTTTATTTCATAATTGATTGTGTACTTCATCAGCTATTTTAAATTCATGAAAATATACAAATCTTGAAACGAAATTTTGGCCGTTGTGTTTGCATGTTCCATTGATGAAAGCATATATATATGATATGGATTCTAGACTTGCATACAATGTCTTGTTAGTTTGTTTTTTTCAATAAAATAAAATATTATGTGAGTGGTGAAAGCCAGTGTATACACTTTCATAATATTTTATTTTATTATAAAAAACACACAAAACACTGAAGAGTCTGTATGCAAGTCTATATGGACTCCAACAAGTACAAACTGTCCATTTTGGTTAACACTAACCAAAAAGAAAAACTTCATACACATTCACTTTTCGCGAAATTAAATACAGGGCCGTTCTCTCGATGGAAACGTTACCATCTGGCTGATAGAATTCCCACTGATGCATTGTGCATTGAGACATGTTGCAGCGCCAACTATCGGACTAAAAGCGAACCAATGCAAAAATACGTGACCACAGAGGGCCGATAAATAAGTGAAAACATTGAACGTGTTCGCAGTTATTGTTTGTCGTTAGTTAGCGTCAACTCCTTTCTAGAATCCAGAGGTCGTTAGCAAAAATACTATATTTCAGTACATATTTCTAAATCCTAATGATCAGATAATTGAACACCAATATGGTTTCCAATGTTACATGTTCATTGAACGGTAGCATTCCAGGGAACAGCTCATGTCACGGCTTGGAAATTTTAAAACATATTACACATAATAGAAAATGAAATACACCATTTTGATAAACTGTTAATTGTTAAACAAAGAAAGAAATATACTATTCAACACAATTAACTCAATAAAGGTAAATTCACAAAATTTGATACCAAAGATTCAATTTATACTCAAATCAAAACACCACAATATTATAGTTGCATTATGATACGACCTCAGGCTGACAACTTGCAACATGATTTAAACAAAATAATGTTTACTACCAGTTATCTCAGTTATGTAATTTTATATTATTATCAAAACCTCATTGTATTTTCATTAATTTTATTTCAAATGTAACAAAATTAGAAATGTAAATTTTCTGAACGGTTGGAATAAAGAGTGATTTATCTATATCATCGAACGTGGTATGGTTGATATCGCCACGTGCTCTCTATGCAACCTAACAAGCTCATTAGCATATGCATGATTTGCTAAGCACACTACTAGTATTATACGTGATTTCAGGGTAACCGTTGAAACTTGGGTTGATGTATGGGGGGGGGCATTTCATTTTATTCCGACTTCATTTTATAAATTGTCCAACTACGTTAAACTATTTCACCCAAATTTGTCTGTACATTTTTTTCCGTATATTCTTCAATATCTCTGGAAATGAACCCTAATTTTGAAGCCAACAAACCAAATTTGAGTAAATTGAGTTTTTGCTAAAAAAAATTGGCTATTTTTGTACCAATCTTTTCAAGGAAAGTGCTGACTATAGACGAACTATTTTGTGATGAAAAAGGGGAACTGGTGGTGAAAAGGTTACATTTCAACTTATAGTGTTTTGTTTCACGGTTAATTGTGATTTGCAACGTCGTGCTAGACATCAATAGCACCGACGGTTGCGGTATTTTATAGTTGTATACCTTTTCAAGTCTGCATGTCAATTTTGCCGGAGAACTGCTAAAATTTCAGAATAGGCAAACGCCACGACGCTTTCACAAACATTACTAAGTGCATAGGTCTTACTAAATTACACACGGTAGTGTACGGTGTTATTATAACTACAGTACAATGTACTGATGAGTACAACTACTCGTAATTCCACGCTTTGATGACGGAGAACAAAGGTACATCGTGAAGAAGCCCGAGGATGAGTACATAACGATTGTTTGCTATTCATTATCTGACAGTAGCGTACTCGGCATGATTTCACGATGGTTCCCATGAGATATGTAACTTGATATGATGCAATATCTATTGTAAACCGCTTCAATTTCGCGTATGAATGAAAATCGCGACATTTTGTAGCAGTAAAACAATTCCCTGGCGTCCCACGAAACAGTGTCAGCGAAATTTTGTCTTTACGAAAGCCATACAATCCTGAAAAAAACAATCCCGCAGTGAAAATTTAACAGTTCACAGTATATTTATATAAGCTATTCAAATGACGGGAGCCAAATTTTCTATCCAAATTTTCAATAAATTTATTTTCATTACGGCATTGTCCAAAATGTCATTTTCATATAAAGTGCTACACACGATGTAAACCGGCGGGGGAGGGAGTTGCATGGCACGATTGGATAAATCAATATTCAACAAAAGCACAATAGCGATATACGGCATAAGCACTAACGTATTTGCCTCTATCTTAGCTTTCAGATGATATTAGGTTGTTATAGTAACATATTTGAATCACAGATTACTAGTATATTAGTTCATGCAGGACTTGCGTTTTATCGACGTAAAGGGCGTAATGCTACTGCCATGGAACTGAAAAAATGAGAGTACATATTAGTACGTGGATATCTAGTTATGCCTGCGTTTAATATTTACTGTTTATATATCAGAAACTCTTCCAACAAATTGTAATCATCACATTTCTAAAGAACAGTAAATACATCTGACACATCTGCGAGGAATGTGGTCAGAGGCAATAGGCGCAGAAAATCATGGTCTCATTCTTCATTATAAGTCTTGCATGCCATCAGGAGAAAATCGTTAAATTTTGCGACAATGATCGGTTGATTTAGATAAAGTTTAGACACAAAGATGTAATGGATTTATAAGTCACCTTTTTTTTTTACTCAATTTGGCTTGAGCGGAACTTTCATGAAAAAAGTTAAAAAGGTGGCGTTTTTCACAGACCACACATTTTAATTTTGTGCAAACAATGCATTTTATGGGACACTGGTATTTTGAGTTAATATTAATGTGACAAAATCATGCTTTTGCATAGCGTTTTAAAACAAATTAAAGCAGGGTTCGTCACCTGCGTATGCGTCAGATGGCCAGAGTGAGTCAGTTTACAAACAAGCGTCTACCCACGAGTCTTTTCGTTTTGAGTGCGCGTTATCATCAATTGGGACTCAATTTCCACGCGTGCGCAGGTGACAGCCCTCTCGCTTTAAATGGATAGACGAAAGCAATTTAGAAGCCAAATCCAGTGGTGTTGATCACCACAGTGCCCTATCATTCTAGTATTGCTTATAGAATTTAAACACCACTCGTCACACACGACACCAGCTAGATTTCTGCTCTATGGGAGTGTGCATGCATTCTACTTTTGATATGCCCAGCTACAAAATATTGTACTTTCAGATGTGTGCGAACATCACACACACACACACACTCAATGAATTGTCGTGAGCATCGCCCAAAATAAATACTCCCATCAGTTTATATCTTGTACTCTGGATTCCATAATCAGGTGATCTTACAATACTGACATACAATCCATACATAAGGTAAATATCAGGCAATGAATTGATGCATAGATTTTAGGCATTGGTGGAGAGCTTTATAGCGAGTGGAATTATGCATGTACACATGTATACTAGGCGTTAATGAAATTACAGACACAAATTAGTGATAGCATATAGGGAGTGGTCTAGATTCTAGGCACAAAATTTAAGCAGATAGAAGAATTGCATAATTCTTGAGGCGGACATCTGGGCATTTTCACCATCAGGCAACAATCAGTGAAAACAAAAGCTGAGAAACACTCGGGGGAGGGGGCGGGGTATTTTGGGCTACCCGGTAGTTAAGACTCCTGAACAACCCAACAAGACTACCTCTAAACATGTATAAATTTGGTCGCTCAGGATTACTCAGTTCCCACCGCATTTGGGAAGTCGCCACACTTTAACAGACTTGACTGAAACGTTATTGGCAGCAGTCATCAAATAATTATACAAATGTGATTCACTTAGAAAGTAATAAAGTTCATCAAGCTTTTTTGTCTGGATAAATAAATCCAAACCAATGTAATTTCATCAGTTGGTTAAACCCAACCCATCTTATGCCAGCTTCAATGAAAAAATACAGAATTACTATCAATAGTTGAACATTTTAATTCACACCATGCACCATAAAAAAAACACGCGTCTCTAGAGGTAAGGCTCAACAGAAACAAAACCCAAGATTTGTATTAAGTCATCTACATAATAAGCCATCCAAATAAAAATTTAAATTCTAGTTAACTATGAATAATCAGGATCATTTAATTTTCTTGTGATTTGAAACACTATTAAAATTGACGTGATCAGACCTTGGGGCGTCAGGGATACACAATGCTGCAAAATTTCTTGTAATATGGTCCCAGTTACAAAAACAAATTTACACTGCAGTAAACCACCAATACATATTCATTTTAATTATGGAGAATAAAATGAAAACTATTCTCAAAGCTCATGTTTAATTACTGTAAAATACTTTATTTTTGCTGAAAGGAATGATTCAGCGAAAATAAAATCCTGCGAATATACTTTTTTTCCTATATTTCATATTCAACTCTTCAAAAATCAGTGAAAATAAAATCCACACATAACAGCCAAAAGGTTTTTTTCAGCGAAAATAATTCCAGCTTTCACAGTATGTGACCGTATAATTTGATATAAAATAAATCATTTAGCCCTGTGAACCGAAAAATGTATTGAAAGTTGATGACTTTCAGGCTTTTATATCAAATCAAGAATGTATTTTTAGCAACACTGTCCAGAGACATGTGATGAGTAGAACAGGTGATGAAGATCATCCTGGTTGATTAGCAGAAACATTGCCATGGCAACATAAAATGGATACTGACCAATTAAGGGAGAGGAGACATGCTTTCAGTTTTCACATATGCAATACACGCGCAGCCAATATCATTGTCTTTACGCAAAACTGTTGAAATTGCATCAGCATATAGACAAATTTGGTGTTTATTTTACAGCATGACCACATTGATGAGAGGCATATTTTTCACTGACAACCAAGACGTTTATAATGTTTCACTTACTGGTCAAAGCTTGCTACAATGGAATATAGAAGAGTTTATTAAAAATACATTGTTAGGTTGTGAAAGAAACTGAAATCTGATTTCATTTGAGCCACACTTATTTATTGGTGCCCAACAGAAATTGTCAAATATGATAATTCAACATTTAGTACTTCACTGAGGAATCCACAGTAATCGAGTTTGCAGAACGACAAATGATTTCTATTATAAAAAGACAGAATAAACCCTGCTATTAAAGTCTATTTAAGGTCAGTCACATTTAACACAGTGCTCAGAATACAGAATATCATTATTACAACTGTACACTATGAAAGTGCAATTTGAGTGAGATCTCGTCACATGTCACTGGAAGTTGGAAACCCTAGCTCATACACCCTGGAACCAATCAATGAATCCCCCAAACTACATTGCTGGTAAGCTGAGTAATGTATTCTGTCCTGACGGTAGATATGCTACGTTGCGTGACATTGACATCTGATGTGCGATATCTTCCGCTGCTTCAATCTTTCTTAATTCAATAAGACCCTCGCCAGCATCCCCGAAAGATATAGCTAAAAGTTCAGCCGCTTTGGAGTCTCCCTCGGCAGCTATAATGGCTGCACGTTTCTGTTTCTGCCTAAAAAAAACAGAAAAGAAGAGTTATGTATTGGATAAAATGCCCCACGCCCCAAAAAAAAAAAAAAAAAAAAAAAAAAAAAAATTGTTCTATGATTATCTGGTACAATCTCAGTAATTGACAAATTCTTCAACTTACCTTTTCTACAATAAACCGAGCTCTTTCAGCTTCTTGTTGGGCTACTTGTTTTAATTCAATGGCATGTGAGAATTCCCTACCAAATGTTAAATGCGTCTGGAAATAAATAAGCACAAAGGTTACAGAGAAGATCGATTTCTGTTTGAGAAACATCAACAGCATTACATAAGTGGTGATATTTTTTTGGAACAGTTGTGGTGTCGAAATAAATTAGTAAGGAATTTGTTTTAACAGGAAATCTCTTTAGCTTTCACAACAAATTCTTTCACTCCAAAGTCGCGACGAAGTCAGCCAGTTGGCACTGACTGACAGCTTCATCAAGGAATATTGTGAAATTTCTTAGCTGTTGTGATGTAATAATTTGCTTTGTTCAGGCAACGAACGAATCACTGAAAGGCCACAGTGAAACATCGCAGTTTGAGGTTGAAAATGTCTCATTATCTTAGTACGCTGTTCACATTTGATCTGTATCATGAGCTCAAAAACGTTTTATGGTTACATCATTGTCAGTTTTAGCAAGACCTTTGTTATCGTGAGGATCATAAAATACTGTAGAATACTTTATTTCGCTGAAAAGACTTTTTGGGTGTTTTGAATGGGATTTATTTTCACAGATTTTTGACTAGTTGAATGACAAATATAGGATAAAAGGGATATTCGCTGGATTTTATTTTTACTGACAATTCCTTCAACGAAAATAGCAAAAATTAAATACAAGCGAAAATAAAGTATTTTACACAGTAATAGATCTGATCAGTTGAGATGTTGGAACCACAGAGATATTCAATTTCTTCTCCAGTCAAAAACACACAAATTGTAGAACATACTTACAATAGATATATCGTCAAGAATGAGACCAAACACAGCAGCTCTGTCAGTTAATTCATCTCTAACTTTCAATGAGACCATTTCTCTCTGCGTGATTAACTCGCTAGCATCAAACTGAGCCTGTGATTGAGATGCAAATACAGAATTACTATCAACAATAGCGCCCTCTATAAATGTCATGGTCAAAGAAGATTCAATAATATGTTAGCGAGATTAAGTGTTAATATTACAAAATGGCCACAACTGAAGAGCTTGAAATATAAACTAAAAATCCTTGGTTACATGGAAATAAATCTGATTAACAGTTCCTTTTTGCAGAGATGGTCAGCCACTGTGGGTTGGATCACAAAGCCAAGCCACTCTTTGTATCAAGTTTGAATGAAATTAGTCTACATGCATGTACGTGTGAAAAAAGGCCAAACAGGCAGAGCAAAAAGATGTTGCAGAGAAGTTGTGCTAAAACATCATTAACTAAACAAAATGGCCACCGGCCGGTCATTTTGTATCAGATCATGAAACAAATTGATGTGCACATGTATAGTACTATGTATGATGCATGTGTGAGCTATGAATGTAATCGGTCCAGGCATGTCTAAGATGTAGGTCCATATATAGGCACAGACGCACAGAGGTCAATCCATCCCAATTTTTGGATGGTGTTCGTACGTGACTAAATCAATGACTTGACATACAAGTTATTGAAACCACCCCGGTGGGAGTAAGTTGACTTACCACAACAGCTTTCAATACTTCATTAGTGATGGAAGGTAGAACCCTATCATCATAATCTTCACCTAAACTAACGTAGATCTGCGGCAACCGCTCAGGGACTGGCTTGAATAAAATACGAAGAGTAATATTTACATTCTGCAAATCTGGAAAAAAATAATAATTAGAAATTGGTTACTGCTGATACATGTAGAAAGCAAAAACTAATGGAGTTTTACGAGTACCTTTTTCAGCATCTGCTGTAATTGGTTTTCAAGTTCAATACTCAGTAATATTTTATGCATCTCATCACTGTTATCAGTGGATTGACAGATTAATATAATAACATCATGGTATTGAATTATAAAATGTATTTATGGCTTACTGGTGGCCATTTTATTGCTGAATGTTCATCAACAAACCAAACATTCCTGTCATTCCAAAACCAGAATGACAAGTATCGCTAAATTGTGTTCAAACTTGTTAATCATATTAGACATTATTGGAAGTTTTGTAGATTGGATTCAAAATGGCTGACTGGTGGCCATTTTGTTTTCATGAATGCTGTTCCATGCAGAGCGAGTCATAATCACATTCAAACTTCACACATAAATTATAATGATTTTCTGAAAGCTTATTCTCTGTTACTATTTGTATGTCTAAAAAGAAAACTAGGTAACCAAATCAATTCTAATACAAATGGCTACCAGAAGAGGGCTGAACAATATAGGAAAATCAAAAATTAATTGTTTCCATGGAAACAAGTTTGAGTATCCTCTCCTCAGATTCAATGAATCCCAAAGCTACCAGCTTTTTCATGGTATTTAAATTGATTACATTTTTACTTTAAAACCATCCTTCTAACCCCCAGTTTGTGTTACAATGCCGCAACTTCAATAATTAGTTAAAAACCACTGCCAACACTTCCTGGATCATTTCTTTTCGTTGATACAAAAAAAAAATGCATTTTTAATGGTGGGACCAATTTTGGCAATATTTGCCTCCAGCTAAGGTGTCATCTTATAAGACCTTAGAACATCAGACCCCTTTGACTCCCTAGGTCACTCATTTCAAAGGAAATTGCTGTAACACTATTTCTTGAACGTTCCTTGAACCACCTTGCTCCTAATTCAAGATTAATAGATGACGCTGTTTCACAGGTTTATTTGAATGGATTTCAGTCAAAACGTTTTTCAATTTTTGTATAAAGACAGTTTTTCAATTAAGTGTGCAGTAGTAGTCATGATATGGGTTTAATTATCAGATTTTAATGGTAATTAGTTGTGTCAATCATTAAGAGCTTACACCACAATAGGTAATATGTATCTCATTGAAGACTAAGGTGAGATTACTGAGCTCCCTAGTTTTCTCAACTGCATCATTCGGATCTGAATGCTGGGTATCCTCGGGGGCGGAGCTATGCCACAGACGTTCTACGTTGCTAAGACGCGCGCCACTGTACCACGTATTTCTATGGGCTTTGTGTGCGCTGCTGTGGAACGCCGGTGGAGCCGGCGAAAACTCGAGAAAACAACACAAACTCAACTTTGAAGTAATCCTGAACAACAAAATTTATATATGTTACACACATAGGACTAATCTTGTTACACTGTTCAGGGGAGTCTCAACAAACATCCCAAAGTACCGTTTTCTGCGAGTTTTTGGTCTTTGTTTTCACCGCGAGGGTTGCCAGGTGGTAGAAATTGCCCGGATGTCCGCCCCCAAGGACTCAAAAACTCTGACAAAAAGAAAATACAGTTTTGAACTTTGGTGCTATAGGCGGATACTACGTATAAGCTGGACAGAACAGATAACTAATGAAAAAGTACTGCAAAGAATAAATTGTGTAAACAGACTGCTCAGTATCACGAATACAAGGAAACTAAGTACCTTTCCTAGGTTCCTTGCTGAGGAGTGACAGTTTAGACAAAAGATTGTTGATGGGCATGGTATTGGGAAACAGAGGTAAGGGAAGACCGAAGATGAGACTGAGTGACAAAATAAAAGAAATTTGTGGGCTTACAATGGTTGGAGCTGAAAAGTTGGCACAGGGTCGAGATCACTGGAGACTATTTGTGCAGTGGACAACGGCTGTTTAAGTATGAACAATCCGTTGTTGATGATTTTGATTATTTCATAAGAGTAAGTGAATAGTGTACAGCTGGCATTGTGAGCAAACGCTTACCTTTGGTACCAGTGACTACAGGCACATTTCTTGGTCTGTCGCGACAATCAAAAAATATTGGTTTTTGAACCCAGGGAATAATAAAATGTGTTCCTTCATCGGAGATGGTTGGTAACACACCACGAAATCTGTCAAATATCACAGCTCTGTGTGCTGCTTCGACTGCAATTGAAACAGATGATTAGTGTTAATTAAACAAGACAGACAACAAAAACATAATACAGTGGTTCTGTGCACTTGTACATTGAAGTACCAGTTAAGTATGGAGCGGTTAGTGTGAATTCACTT